TCTACTAGTTATGAGCAATCAATATGTGAAATATGAAAACTTTGTGTTAAACGGTAACAAAAGGGGTAATTAGCGGAAATCATATTAACATTCAAGGCCTCTGTGAAATTGAACCTTTGGGCCTAGTGACCCCAAAAATCAATAAGGGTCATCTACTAGTTATGACCAATCAATACTTGAAATATGAAGACTTTGTGATGAATTGTAATCAAGATAATGAGTGGAAACCATTCTGACATTTAAAGCCCCTGTGACCTTAACCATTGACCTCAAAATCAATAGGGGTCAATGCCTCTGTGAAACTGACCTTTGGCCTAGTGACCCCAAAATCAATAAGGGTCATTTACTAGTTATGACCAATCAATATGTGAAATATAAAGACTTTGTGATGAATTGTAACCAAGATAATGAGTGGAAACCATTCTGACATTTCAGGCCCCTGTGACTTGACCTTTGACTTAGTGACCCAAAAATCAATAGGGGTCATTAACTAGTTAAGACCAATCACTATGTGAAATATGACGACTTTGTGATCAATACTTATCAAATTAATCAGCAGAAACCTTTCTGACATTTAAAGCCCCTGTGACCTTGACCTTTGACCTAGTGACCCCAAAATTAATAGGGGTCATTAACTAGTTGTGACCAATCACTATGTGAAATATAATGACTTTGTGGTCAATACTTTTCATGATAAATCAGCAGAAACCTTTCAGACATTTAAGGCCCCTGTGACCTTGACCTTTGACCTAGTAACCCTAAAATCAATAGCGGTCATCTACTAGTTATGACCAATCAATATGTTAAATATGAAGACTTTGTGATAAATAGTTACCATGATAATAAGCAAAATCATATTTAATTACTATTCAAGGCCACTGTGACATTGACCTTTGACCTAGTGACCTAAAAATCAATAAGGGTCATCTACTAGTTATGACCAATCAATTTGTGAAATATGAAGATTTTGCGATTAATTGTAACCAAGATAATGAACAGAAACCATTCTGACATTTGAGGTCCCTGTGACCTTGACCTTTAAAATAATGACCCAAGAATCAATAGGGGTCATCTAAAAAAAAAAAAAGGCAATAATTCAAGTGTAAGGCAAAGCAGAGTTATAGTTTTTGTGCACTTCACACCTTCTCAATGAGATCTCTCTACCTACAAAGTTTCATGTTGATACCTCTTATAATTTTAGAGTTATGTCCAGGACAAAGTTTAAAGTATAAAAATAAACAAAGTGCAATAATTCAAAAATTAGGCAAAGAAGAGTTACGGTTCTTGTGCAATGCACACCTACTCAATGAGATCTATCTACCTACAAATTTTCATGTTGATACCTCTTGTTGTTTCTAAGTTATGTCCCGGACAAGAAAAGCGGACGGACGGACGGACTTACGAAATGGTACTTGTGTGACTTTTCCTTTGATCTTTTTAGGCTTTTTTAGTCACACAAGGCTTAAACTAGAGTTGTCAGTAGAACAGCAACGCTTGACTATTCTTAGTGCTTGATAGTAAAAGAGCCTTAATGATGTAAAATTTAACAAAATGTAACAAAAAAAGTTAACAAAATGGCCAAATTTTCCTTTAGATCCATGTTACTGTTATAGGCCTTGAAGAGAGTCCTATTATGCTCTCAAAGAAGTGTATAAAATTTCAACTTATTTCAAAGCCAGATGTCAATAGTGTATGAAAATATCTGAGGTGGAATGCAAACTTTAACATAAATTCTAAGTCAGAAAAGGGGCATAATTCTGTCAAAATGCTTGATACAGTTACCTCCTTATGTCTACAGGTTGTAATCATGATTGTGAACAAGTGTGCAAAGTTTCAAAGCCATATGTCAATCGATTTTGAAAATATTTGAGGTATTACAACAACTTTAACGTGAATTCTAAGTCGAAAAAGGGCCATAATTCTGTCAAAATGCTTGATACAGTTACCTCCTCCTGTCTACAGGTTGGAGTCATGATGGTGAACAAGTGTGCAAAGTTTCAAAGCCATATGTCAATGCACTTTGAAAATATTTGAGGTATTACAAAAACTTTAACACAAGGGGTTACGCCGACGCTCGGGTTTCTACAATAGCTCTACTTATTCTTATCGAATAGTCAAGCTAAAAAAGACACACGCGTAAAAACAGAATGAATAGGATCAAAGAGAATTTACTGTTATCGATTGTTCTTCAAGTCACACAAGTACCTTTGGGTTTGTACGGACAGACAAAGCGCTGACTATATGCTCACCCTTCTGGGAGCATAAAAATCAATGACGCCCTCCCTGACCAATTTTGACCCCGGTGCTTTAATTTGAACAAACTGGCAGACACCCACTAAAACATTGTTTCATGCTTTATATCTAAGCTGTAGCTCCTTGGCGTTTTAAAAGAAGATTTTTTTTAAAATAAAACATTTAAGGAAAATCAATGACCCCCAGGGATGGGCAAATTTTAAACCTAGGGCATTTATTTGAACAAACTTGGTAAACACTCAATAGAAGATGTTGCATGCTTAATATCTTAGTTCTAGCTCCTTGGGTTTTTTAAAAGATTTTTTAAAGTTTTTACTAAATACATATCAGGAAAATCAACGACCCCATGGGGTGGGGCCAATTTTGAGTGCTTTCATTTGAACAAATTTGGTAGACACTCACTACAAGACGTTTCATGCTTATCATCTAAGCTCTAGCTATCTGAATTTTTTAAAACAAGATTTTTTAAGTTTTTTTGTTTGGTTGCGTTCTGCATGCAATTAAATTCTTTGAACTATTTTAAAAGGTGACTACCAGAGGAACATTCCCGTGAAGTATGGATGAAATTGGCTTAGTGGTTTATGAGGAGTTTTGTCGTTTAAAGTTTATGGCCAGACGAATTGTGATCACAAAACAAGAGGGCCATGATGGCCCTAGATCGCTCACCTGACCCATCAAACTCATCCAAACAATTACCTAGACAAGCATTCTGACCAAGTCTCATGACAGGTGAGTCAAAAATGTGACCACTACAGTGTTAACAAGGATTATCCATATTTGAGCATTGTGACCTAGTTTTTTTACCAGGTGACCCATATTCAAACTTGACCTAGAAATCATCAGACCAATTTCCAGGATACTTGGATCAAAACAGTAGCAACTAGTGTTAACAAGATTTTTCTATTTTTAGCTCCGGTGATCTAGTTTCACATGCGATTTCGAACTCATCTGAGCAATTACCTAGACAAGCATCCTGACCAAGTTTGGTGATAATTGAGTCGAAAATGTGACCACTAGAATGTTAACAAGGTTTTTCCATATTTTGGCGGTGTGACCTAGTTTTTCATCAAAGATGTCCCATGTTCGAACTTGACTTAGAAATCATCAAAACAAACTTTCAGACCAATTTACAGGATATTTGGATCACAACAGTAGCCACTAGAGTGTTAACAAGATTTTTCTATTTTTAGATCCTGTGACCTAGTTTTTCATCCGAGATGACCCATGTTCGATGTAATCCCAGCAATGGCCAAGACAAGTTTTCCTGACCAAGTTTTGATGACAATAATTTGAGTCAAAATTGTGACCACTAGAGTGTTAAAACAAGGTTTTTCTATTTTTAGCTCCTGTGACCTAGTTTTTCATCCGAGATGACCCATGTTCAAACTTATCCGAGCTATCACCTAGACAAGCATCCTGACCAAGTTTGATGATGATTGAGGCAAAAATGTGACCGCTAGAGTGTAAACAAGGTTTTTCTATTTTTAGCTCCTGTGACCTAGTTTTTCATCCAGGATTACCCATGTTTGAACTCATCCAAGATATCACCTAGACAAGCATCTTGACCAAGTTTGATGATGATTGATGCAAAAATGTGACCGCTAGAGTGTTAACAAGGTTTTTCTATTTTTAGCTCTGGTGACCTACTTTTTCATCCGATTCGAACTCATCCGAGCTATCACCTAGACAAGCATCCTGACCAAGTTTGATGATGATTGAGACAAAAATGTGACCGCTAGTGTTAACAAGGTTTTTCTATTTTTAGCTCCGGTGACCTAGTTTTTAATCCGAGATGACCCATGTTCGAACTCATCCGAGCTATCACCTAGACAAGCATCCTGACCAAGTTTGATGATGATTGAGGCAAAATTAGCCTCTAGAGTGTTAACAAGGTTTTTCTATTTTTAGCTCTTGTGACCTTGTTTTTCATCCGAGATGACCCATGTTCGAACTCATCCAAGCTATCAACTAGATAAGCATCCTGACTAAGTTTGATGATGACTGAGGCAAAAATGTGACCTCTAGAATGTTAACAAGGTTTTTCTATTTTTAGCTCCGGTGACCTAGTTTTTCATCAGAGATGACCCATGTTCGAACTCATTCGAGCTATCACCTAGACAAACATCCTGACCAAGTTTGATGATAATTGAGGCAAAAATGTGACCTCTAGAGTGTTAACAAGGTTTTTCTATTTTTAGCTCTTGTGACCTAGTTTTTCATCCGAGATGACCCATGTTCGAACTCATTCGAGCTATCACCTAGACAAACATCCTGACCAAGTTTGATGATAATTGAGGCAAAAATGTGACCTCTAGTGTTAACAAGGTTTTTCTATTTTTAGCTCTTGTGACCTAGTTTCTCATCCGAGATGACCCATGTTCAAACTCATCCGAGCTATCAACTAGATAAGCATCCTTACCAAGTTTGATGATGATTGAGGCAAAAATGCGACCGCTAGAGTGTTAACAAACAAATGTGGACGGAGGACGGACGACGGACAATCATCGATCCTAAAAGCTCACCCTGAGCATGCTCAGGTGAGCTAAAAAACCCTCAAAACTAGCCAAAAGGTTTGTATATTGTAAACATACTTATATTACTATATATAGACCACTTAATATTTTTGGAACAATATTTCATGAAGAAATTTATAGGAAAATTTTGATTATCTATGTAATTCAACAGATTGAGAGAATTGACTTCACACAAAGTTTAACACATACAGGTCCTATCCTATAACAAAACAGTTTCAATTTTTTGCACTTTATTTATGTTAATAAGACATGATTTATACATAAATATTAGACAAGTAGAATATATATTTACAATTCTAAATGTGAGACAATTTGATAAAGACAACTACATTTATATATACAAAATTACCAAATGCAAAGTTTACTCAGCTTTAAAAAAAATCATATAATAACATTTCTGCATAAAACAATGAATAGTGAAATTAAAAGAAAGAGAAATATTAGTACATAATAATATGCTTTGATTTAATGTGATTTATGAAGTTACATTTATTCATAAAAGGACATGTTAACTCTTCTTTTTATGCCATTATAATTATATCAAGTATTAAAATCCTGAAAAATCTGATTAACTGAAAAACAAGTAAATGACAAGCCATGGTAAAAATTTTAAATAAGTGTAAATGTCTAAAATACAAGGATGATATTTTACAATATACAAGATCAAATACAAATGGGCATTGAAAATTTCACCAAGACGAAAAGCATGATATATTTTAACGCCAATACAGAACAGAGATGTGAAACACATATTGGATAAGTATTTTGTTATCACAGATGGTAAGATGGCAATTTTCCTGCAAATTCATATTGATCATTTGTTTACAATTTCCATAACATGCAAGTTTGAAATTTTACAATAAAAACAAAGGTTCAAATTACTAACATTACAAATTTTTTAAACTAGAAGGGTTTTTGTCACGAAAACAAAAGTCTTCCAAAACTATGTATGGTCAATCGTGAAGTATTAGTAGCTTGACCTGTGAAAGATGGACAAGATTTTTCTATTTATAGCTCTGATGGCCATTTAGTGCAAGCAGAACTTGCCGGTGATGTGCACAACTAAGGATGGTACTGATTACTCCTGTAAAGTTTGGTTGAAATCCCACCAGTAGTTTGACCTATGAAGGCCGGACATGATTTTTATATTTTTAGCTCTGGCGGCCATTTTCTGCAGCTAAGCAGAACGTGCCAGTGATGTGCACAACCATAGATGGTACTGATCACTCCTGTAAAGTTTGGTTGAAATTCCATCTGTAGTTTGACCTGTGAAGGCCGGACAAGAATTATGTTATTTTTAGCTCTGGCTGCCATTTTGTGCAGTACAATTGAACGTCTATGTGCACAACTAAGGATGGTACTGATCACTCCTGTAAAGTTTGGTTGAAAACCTACCAGTAGTATGACCTGTAAAGGCCGGACAAGATTTTTCTATTTTTAGCTCTGGCGGCCATTTTGTGCAAAGCAGCAGAACGTGCTGGTGACATGCACAACTAAGGATGGTACTGATCACTCCTGTAAAGTTTGGTTGAAACCCAATCAGTAGTTTGACCTGTGAAGGCCGGACAAGCTATTTCTATTTTTAGCTCTGGCGGCCATTTTGGGCAGCAAAGCAGAACATGATGGCGATGTGCACAACTAAGGATGGTACTGATCACTCCTGTGAAGTTTGGTTGAAATCACACCAGTAGTTTAACCTATGAAGGCCGTACAAGATTTATCTATTTTAAGCTCTGGCGGCCATTTTGTGCAGCGAAGCAGAACATGCCAGCGATGTGCACAACTAGGGATGGTACTGATCACTCCTGTGAAGTTTGGTTGAAATCCTACCAGTAAATGATGTGGAAGGCTGGACAAGATTTTTCTATTTTCAGCTTTGGTGGCCATTCTGTGCAACGAAGCAGAACATGCCGGTAATTTGTACAACTAAGGATAGTACTGATCACTCCTGTAAAGTTTACTTGAAATCCCACCAGTAGTTTGACCTGCGAAGGGCGGACAAGCTTAATTGAGGACAAACGGACAGATAAAAATTTAAGGAGACATAATTACTGGCATTAAAAGTCGCTGTAATATTCAACAAAGCCAACTTTCACTTACAGAGAGACATGAATAAATTGTCTATCCTTGACTTGAACACTGAAACAGTTACTTTTTAGTGGAAAAAAAAAACTATTTTTCAAAAATCAAATGGATGAAAAGCATACAATTGCACCAAAAGATTTAAAGTTATAGTAATTGAAATAAAATCAAGGCACAGTTTATAATGTATTTTTTCAGTGCTATACATATTATAACTTTGCTCCATCGCAGTCTTTTTACACCTAACATTATAAACACCGTACTAATTACAACTATGTCATTGAGACACTTTTTTTTTCTAATGTTTACTTTTATTATTCTCATGTCAAAATTTGAATCTTTATGTCTATTGAACACAATTCTTGAAAACAATTTTTGAAGTTTCATCAAAAAAGCACTTATTAAAAATATATATTTGAATATAAAAAGACATGCACATACAATGTCCTGAAATTTTAAAACAAGTCCATAAATACATGATAAGATATATACACAGCTAAAACTTCAACTAGTCACTTATTTATTACCATTTGACTAATTTCTTCTCATGCAGATAAAAAAAATCACAGCCGCCAAATTGTTACCCTAAATATTTTCTATTTCGGCTATGCAGAACAAATGGCAAGTTTGTTAATATTTTTTCGGAAAAGAAAACCTTGTACCATTTGATATCACAACCAACTGTCAAACCATTGATGAATTTAAACATTTCTACTACGGTTACTATATGACTATGTGGCACATTTTATCATTTGTAAGTTCACGATCACATTATGAGGGATGAGGTACACTCGAGTAGAGATATCACAGAGCACTGTGTAAGTTGTGTTGGGCACTGTTGTTATGTATTATCCAATCAAAATCAGCACATCCTGGTAAAATAAATAGTAATGTTTGCATTATTTTAATTTCTAAATGCTCATTCATGATTGAAATAAAAACAACAAGAGCCACCGCCGGGCGGGGGCAACGCTCGACTTTTTACTTTCTCTAAAAGCAAACAAAGAAATGTTTGAACAAAATCTTAACGTTTCCTTTTTATAAAATTAATCGTCTGTCTTGTCACATTAGTTTTGTCTATATATTTTAAATAAAAACACCCAATTCTATAAATAGAAACACCCAATTCTATAAATAGAAACACGCAATTCTATCAATAGAAAATTCTATAAATAGATACACGTGGTGGAGTCACGTGGTGACATGTGGTGGAGTCACGTGGTGGAGTCAAGTGGTGGAGTCATGTCATGTGGTGGAGTCACGTGGTAGTGTCACCTGGTGGTGTCACGTGGTGGAGTCAGTGGTGGTGTCACGTGGTGGTGGAGTCACTTGGTGGTGGAGTCACGTGGTGGAGTCACATGGTGGAGTCACGTGGTAGTGTCACATGGTGGAGTCACGTGGTGGAGTCACATGGTGGTGTCACGTGGTGGTGTCACATGGTGGTGTCACGTGGTGGAGTCACGTGGTGTTGGAGTCACTTGGTGGTGGAGTTATTTGGTGGTGGAGTCACGTGGTGATGTCACATGGTGGAGTCACGTGGTGGTGGAGTCACTTGGTGGTGGAGTCACGTGGTGATGTCACATGGTAGAGTCACGTGGTGGTGTCACATGCTGGAGTCACGTGGTGGTGTCATGTGGTGACAGGTGGTGGTGACACATGTTTTTGTTGTTGTTGATGATGATGATATGTATATACACACACACACACACACACACCAATAAATATATATGGTCATTTAATGCACAAATCTGAGAAAATTCAGTAATTTAACCTTCAAGGTCAAGGTCAATTAAGAGCCCAAGTGTTTGATAAACAACAACGTCTGGTCCTTAAGAATGTTCTGTTATAATATGAAGTTGATCCCTTCGATAATAGCAAAGTTACAGTCAGATACAAAAAATTTCAATAATTTGACCTTCAAAGTCAATGTCATTTATGAGTGAAGGTCAAGGTATGTCGGGTTATTTTTAAGGGTTATCCTTGAAGATTATTATGTTACAGTTTGAAGACAATCCATTCAAAAATAACAAAGTTACAGCCAATAATAGCCAAAAAATTGAAAATTTCAATAATTTGACCTTCAAAGTAAAGGTCATTTATGAGTGAAGGTCAAGGTCTGTCTGGTTATTTTTAAGGGATATCCTTGAAGATTATTATGTTCAAGTTTGAAGACAATCCATTCAAAAATAATAAAGTTACAGCCAATAACAGCATGAACAAGCAAAATTTTGACTTTTAACCTTGAAGGTCAAGGTCATTTATGGATGAAGGTCAAGGTTAGTGTGGTCTACTGAAAGGTCTTGTCCCAAGGGTTGTTGTGGCCAAGTATAAAGACAATACACCAAGAAATAAAAAAGTTATGATCCAGGTACAAGTTTGCGGATGGCAACAGGAACGGCAACGCCGCCGCGACTATAGCAATACCTCTACTTTTTTTTTTCAAAAAAAAAAAGTCGAGCTAAAAATGTAATCTAATGATGTAAAGCAAAATCTAACTTTTAAGACAAATATATATAAAATGACAGAATTACAATATGCATAGAGAAAACAAGAACGTGTTTGTTAAACACAAATGCCCCCGGCGCAGATTCTTGTCAGTAAATCTATTTTTGACATTGGTGACCTTGACCCAAATGACCACTTACTAAAGGAAAAGGAAGAGGACCTCCCTTGGTATGACTATTATAAAAATGATAGACATTAACTTAAAAATAGGCTGTATGAGCAGAAATGTTTAGATTTTTTTTTTTACACAAGTGACCTTGACCTAGAGACGCCTAACACCACAAAAAATTAGAGGACCGTTAAAGGTATCCATCTACCAAATATGAAAGATATCATTAAATAAATTAAGTAATTAGGTGAATTTTTTTATAAATCCAACTTGGCGGAATAGGTTAACCATACAAGGCCCTATTTTCAAAGTGATAAAAAGGGAAATTACTGGGAAAATGGATGGCACATTTATATAACTTGGCAATATCATGTACATTGTATTGATAAGTGTGAAAATTATTAAGCCATTAGTTCAGATAGAACATAAGATATTTCCAACTTGCCGGTTAAGGTTAACCATTATTCATTTTCAAAATGCTGAAAAGGGCCATAACTTGGTGCAAATGGAAGCCATAGTTATGTAACTTGCCCAGATCATATACTTTGTATGGATTAGTAAGTGTGTAAATTATGAAGCCATTGGTACAGGTAGAACTTAAGGAAAATCCAACTTGCCGTTCTAGGTTAACCTCGTACGGACAGACGGTTCAATTACTATATGCCCGGGGGCATAAAAAATACTTTTTACAACGTCATCTATTATATATAACATCATATTAAAATGGATGAATCATATCATAATACTTGCTATAAATAAAACTTGTGTTTCTCTAAAATAACACTTGTAAAAATAAAACTTGTGTTTCTCTAAAATAACACTTGTGTTTCTCTAAAATAAAACTTGTGTTTCTCTAAAATAACACTTGTGTTTCTCTGAAATAAAGCTTGTATTTCTCTAAAACAAAGATAGTAATACTTACAATTTAGCAGTGGACAAAATATCCTCGCACAGTTTCTTGTAGTGCCATGTATCGCCTTTCACCCTTTTTCTACACACGCCAACAAATGACATCTTGGGTATAGCACAAACTTCTAAATCAAAAGCCAGTTTGACGCGCCCCCAATCGTCCATCACAGTACAACGTAAAGTATAGCTGAAATCATAATAATACAAATATATCTATCTAGTGAAGGGAATCACAACAAGCATGTGGCTGTTAAATAAAAAGTGACTTCTATCATTGAACAAGAGAAGTCTAACAATGATGGACATTTTGGTAATGCTTATAAAAAAAACAAAAAAAAACACTAATTTTTTTCCCCAAAGAATAATTAATTCTTTGGTAGCTTGTGGCAATAGTGTGACTTGTTTATGTTTATTGGTTTTAAATCAAACTGAGATGAATAAATTCAGCTAATGATTTTCAAGCTTCACAGGATGTGTCAAAGGACTTCGGGGGAAGTGGTGGCCTAGTGTTTTAAGTGTCTGCCTCTCAACCTGGAGATCATGGGTTTGACCCCTACTCGGGTCAGGACCATGTTTCTTCATATGACACCAGTACTGGTTGGGAATGTAAGTTGCAAGAACTTGTTTCGCAATCGAGCTCAAATAAATATGTTTAAAACCAAAAGGACTTTGGGTGCCCCTGTTAATTATTTCAGAAACCTATACTAATGGCACTTGGATATAACAACCAATCTTTGTTGTGATAGATGCTTCCTTATAGTGTAAAGTCACGTTAATGGTATGATTTTAAACCTTCAGCATTGAGTGGCAAGTGATATACATGTTTATAGGCCATAAAGATATCTCAAAATCATATAATTAACCTATCATAATTAAACAGAATTCATTTTTGCCGGACATACTTTTTTTTATATATTTTTATTTATCATCATACTTACTCGCTCTCTTTAAAAGGTATAAACTTCTTCTTCACAGTAGCCTTCAAACTGGCAAAAGCAGTATCAGCATTTGTTTCATTGGTCCTGAATACATTGTGTACAGCCTAAAAGATAACCAATTTACACACCTGAAAACAGCTGATAGCATGACACAAGTGCCAATAACATGTACTTAATAGGCTGGTATTACTAGAAACATGAAATGTATTTATCAATTCATCTAGTTTCATGTAGGTGTTTCAACCAATAGTGTAATTTTATATTTGGCAGACATTCAAAAAGAAAACCAAACCATCCCATGTGGGATAGCAGCTTTACTCCTGAAGCCATGACCTCATCAATGTATGACACTAACCTTGACTTTCCTGGGACCGTCAGATGAAGATCCTCTTTGTTTCTTTGGTGTAAGCATGTTGAATACCTTCTCCAGACTGCCAAACACGGAACCCTTCCTCGACTTGCTTGGTGTCGTGTCCATGTGAGCTTTGTATAGATCGTCATCAACGGATGAGGCCCTGTTAGATTTAGGAGGCACTTGTCTATAAGTTACATATAGAGAAACACAGAAAAAATTAGCCTTGACCACTGAGCCACTTTTGATCAACGTTTTTTCTGACCTATTCTACATTAACCACTGGATATGTATGTGCTTTACAAGGTATGTGATATATATTTTTCTAGCAAAAGCTAATGCCATTGTGTCTTTGTTATATAAATGCAAAATATCTATTTTCTTTTTTTATCTTGTTCCTCAAACTATTTATATTTTAATTTTTGTAAAATTTATGCAAAAAATGAAAAAGTGGAAATCATAAAAATAAATATTAGTCACAACATTTATTTTCTATCTAATATCTTGTTTAAGCAATATCAATTGACATTCAAAATGTTGAAAAGGAAACTTAATACGGAAGCTTCATGACTTTTTGTCCCTGTTATAACGACCTTTGACCCATTATATTACGGAATGCCGTTAGGGCCATTGCCTATGAATGTGTTGATCTGAAACGCGATAGTCGATAGTACGATGGTGAAAACGCGAAATCACGAAACTACGATGGTGAAAATGCGAAAGCACGATGATTAAAACGCGAAAGTACGATGATGAAAACGCGACAGTACGATACTACGATGATGAAAGCGCGATAAACTATCGTGTTTTCACCATCGTACTGTCGCGTTTTCACCATCGTAGTTTCGTGATTTCGCGTTTTCATCATCGTACTGTCGTGTTTTCATCATCGTACTATCGCGTTTTCACCATCGTACTATCGCGTTTTCACCATCGAACTATCGCGTTTTCATCATCTCGTACTGTCGTGTTTTCATTCATCGTACTATCGCGTTTTCACCATCGTACTGTCGTGATTTCATCATCGTACTATCAAGTTTTCATCATCGTACTATCGCGTTTTCACCATCGTAGTTTATCGTGATTTCGTGTTTTCACCATCGTACTATTGACTATCGCGTATCAGATTAAACACATTCATAGGCGAAATGGCCCTAACGGCATTCCGAATGCCGTTAGGGCCATCGCCTATGAACGGCTTGATCTGAAACGCCGATACTCGACAGTACGATGATGAAAACGCGAAATCACGAAACTTCCATCTTAAAATACAGACAATTCACATGCTCACCTGATTGGATGACCTAGTCTTAATTTCGGGAAGTCTGAATAACATAGTAGATATAGTTACAATTGGAAAACAGTGTCTTTCATTTTTGGCGATTTAAATAACCAATTTTGAAAACAATGAAATAAAATAATAAGATTTTTGAAAGAAGGCATACGATGTTTGTTTTTGGCGAAAATCATTCGTTTAACTTGCGATTGTGGAAAATCCGGACAGTACGATTGTTGAAATACTACGGATAGTTTTATCCGGTTTTTCATTTCATCGGGTAGTATGCGGGTACTTGTCTCGGGATTTCCATCGGTACTAATCCGTTTTCCATCACGGGTGCTTTCGGCGTTTCCCATCGGGTATTTTTCGTGATTTCGCGGTTTTATAACGGTATCAATCGACTATCGCGTTTTAGACCAACACATTCATAGGCGATGGCCCTAACAGCATTCCGTATTATATAGATCTCTTGTGTGTGACAATCTTGACAAGCACCCATGCCAGATAACTTCAAATAGAACATGATAATGCTTCATGTCCGGTGTTAACCTTTAAAGTTTGCTGGTTTGGTGTAAATCAACATATCATTTCATAATATTCAGAATTTTTCTTACAGTATGAGAAATCTATCATATGTAACTAAGAGTTATGGTGAATACAGCAAATCTAGATAGAATGACTAAAGCAGACGGGTCTAGATGCTGTGGCAGAGACTGCATTTTAAGTTCATTTTGATCTGACTTCCTAAATAACATTTAATGTATAAAATATCTAAAACCTTTAAATGTCTTAATGAAGCATTTAATGAGAAATCAAAATGTATATGTGCACAAATTCTGTGTATATATCCTGTAACACAGGAATGTGAAAACAACGCAGCAACTGTGCAATAGTTACACTGCATCTATGCATTACATCGCTGTACTAAGCAATGTAGTAAATGGACCAATGTATTTCATAATTCAACAAATATAAGAGTTGAATAAGCACACAGGGCTGCTAAGACATCATTTTTCAACCAGAATAATAAATATTAAAAGTCACTCAATCAGATTTTGTCTGCTTATTTTAGAATAATACAATATGAGTAGTTAAGAAAATGGTCCGATATACCAAAATGTATCAATTATGTTAACTATTTTGTATTGTCTCCGGGGTAATATCAAATATAATTTAAGTTATGTCATTTTTGTATAAAAAAAAACATTGACAAAACACAAAAGGTTGCCATTCTAATAGTTGCCAGCTTCTTATTCTCATGATCATGAAAAACATACATATTCTGGAAACTTTTTTTAATGAGGTTTAAGATATGTCTGAGCAGCTGTACATGCTAATTCAATTCTTTCAATTTGATTTACCATTAAGATCTATTAGTCTGTTTACTGTATTGCTCATTTTGGCCATATATTGCACATTTCTTGTGTTCTTTTCACATTCCTGATTTACATGGTGATAAATGAAATGACAAAACTGACTAAGTGATCACAGGCTAGCAAACAAAGCTCTACAACATGTATATATCATAAGCAAATATTATAAGAAACTTTCATACAATTTTCTGCAGCTGTACTTAGGAAACATAACAATTTATTTTCATTGTAGATTTACCAAATACAGCACTTGAAAACAAATAATGCCAAAATTAATGAATGATTCTTCAAAGAAATCATGAACACTATTTTTTTATTATTAAAAAAAAAGCAAGCAGATATTCATCAAAATAGCACAGAATTTTTGTAAATTGAATTTAAGAATTTTTGTTTGTGTTAAGTGCATGCTTTCAATTGTAGTTTTCTTGGAATATGTAACACAACATAGGTCAATATTTTTTTCCAAACAGGTGCTAACTTTTTTACTTCAGAACTTAAGGAGCATCACACCTTATCATTTTTCCACTCTTCTTTACAAGACTCAAGTAAATAAATGTGTTCTCAATCTAAAGAAATTCTATTGAATATGTAGAACTTGTTCTAGATATTCTTCTTAAATATATGTGTTAAACTTTAAAGCAAAAGGAGATAAAATATTTTGTTTTGTTCAAGATACAAACAAGGAAAACTTCCAAAATTTAACACTGTAAACAGCATTTAGTTTTAAAAACTTCTTAATTTGCCTTCAAGCAAGAAATTTTGTATTTCTTTTTTTATAATTTCAACTTTTTATGCCAAAAACTGAAAAAAATATACATGTATATAAAAAAATTCACAAAAATGCCAACGGTCTCGTTACCTCCCTTTACTACAAAAAGCAATGCAAACTTATATTGGATTACCAAACAACATCAAAGTATGCTATACACAATAAGTATGAAATATAAATGAGCTGCTTCACAACAAAACCAACATAGTGCGTTTTGTGACCAGCATGGATCCAGACCAGGCTGCGCATCGCGCGCAGTCTGATCAGGATCCATGCTGTTCGCCTTACAAACCCTATAACAAGTAGAGAAACTGATAGGGAACAGCATGGATCCTGATCAGACTATGTTGGTTTTGTCATGACACGGCTCAAATCTTACTTCTTTGATGCGCTGAGGGTGTGTTTCTTTCTGTAGATTATTTAGTTGTGAATCGTACGACCGTGAATGGTGAAAGTGTGCTGTTCAACATGGAACCATTGTGCATCTTCCCTGGTGTGCATACTACGATTCAAAGAAATATAACAAAATTGAAGTTCACATATATGGAATGAAAAGAAAGGAATCAATTACACCTATATATGTTTCATTTGAATTTCTATGAATATATTTCATTTGAATTTCTATTGCTGCTTTTTGCACCTAAATATGTTTCATTTGAATTTCTATGAATATGTTTTATTTGAATTTTCTATTATTATATACATGAATGTTTCATTTGAATTTCAATTACACCTGCTTAAATTTCTGTTTCAACTGAATGTGTTTCATTTGAATTTCTTAACAATTACTTCATAAAACCTTCAGCTTCGTAACTATCCTATAATTTTCGAGTCGCACCAACGCTCAAAGGTCATATGGTGAATGTCCAATTGATGGAGCAAGATATTAGCAGTGTCTATTCTAGGATTTGGAAAAAAGGGGGGGGGGAAATTTTATCAAAAAAATGAGAAATGAGAATTTTTTATCTCCCTTCCTAGAATAGACACTGTATCAGGTGCCCATCTGTACAGGTGTAAGACCTGTAACTGAGTAGGCTAGCATGAAAGAAATCAAAAACACAACTTTAAATTATCCTGTAAAAAATCATATACCTTGCCATGTAATATTTGAGTTTCTTACATTCATCAAATGTTGCACTACTTAATTCATAAAGATATGCAAAAATAAATAGAACTAGAAAAGTGTTCATAGGACACGGGTGCCCCCACCGCACCACTGATCTGTCAATCTTATGACACTAGGTCAAATATTTTTTGAAAACTAAAATTCTTTAACTAAGGAAAGGCAAGAACTTTACAAATACTGAATAAATCCACAAGCAAACCCCAAGGTGCATAAGTACACATGCTGACCAACATTCTTGTAACCTTTCAGGCGTACAATGGAAATATATTTTGAGCTATGCATGAACAAGTTGAAAATTGCAAATTTATACTTCTGTAAGTCAAGGGGAATAACTCTAACAAAACTGAAAAAAATGCACAAGCAAAATCATTATTCCTGTAATTTAGTGATGTTGATCATTATTCCTGTAAAGTTGGTTGATTCTAAGTCAAGCACTCAAGGAACAAATAACAACATAATGAAACGGTTTTTACTAAGTCAAGGGAAATAACTCTACAAATACTAGATAAATCCACAAGAGAAACCCAAGGTGCAAAACTAAAATATGCTGAGCAACCTTCCCATAAGGTTTAATGACTCTAGGTCAAATACTTTTTGAGTTACATGCGACCAAGTTGAAAATTGCAAAATTTTACTAAGTCAAGGGCAATAACTCTAAAAATACTAAAAATATCCAGACAAATACCCAGGTGCACAACTACACATGCTGATCAACATTTCTGTAAAGTTTCATGACTCTAGGTCAAAAACTTTTTGAGTTACATGCAACACAAGTTGAAAATTGCAAAATTTTACTAAGTCAAGGGCAATAACTCTAAAAATACTAAAAATATCCAGACGAAAATACCCAGGTGCACAAAACTACACATGCTGTTCAACATTTCTGTAAAATTTCATGACTCTACGTCAAAATACTTTTTGAGTTACGTGCGACACAAAAGAGAACAGACGGACGGAAGGAAGGACTGACGGACAAGGGTAAATCTAAATGCCCGCCACTAAAGTGGGGGCACAAAAATATAATTGGAATTAAATTGATATTGTACTCTTATGTGCTTCTTAGCTTGTTAACAGCATTTTAAAGCTTTTCTTTTTTTGGTCATTTTTTCACAATAAAAACAATTTTTCTGGAAAAGCAAATGGAGCAAATGTTTGTAATTCCAGCACACTATTATTACAGACCTATATCAAAATGGAAAATATATCTTGAAAAAAAATATATCTAGTCCCATTGTCGGGAAAAAATAAACCCTCAGTGGAGTCTTTTTTAGCCTCTCCCATCAGTATACTTACATGTATCGTCAAGGGCGACTGGTAACTGTTTAGCCATTAACGGTGATCTAGGTTTCCTATTTTCAAAGTTATTCTGTTCTATAAGGTTCTTGTTATTATTATTCCTTGGTCTAGGTGTTTTATTCTTATAACTTGGAGTCTCTGGTATAAGAAAGTTCTCCTTATTTTCTTTATTGCTGTTTTTATTATCAGAGAATGCAAGTCTTTCTCTGGCTTTTCGATTTTGGTCTCTCTGCCCTTGGCGCTGATTTTTCCTGTGTACGACTGCAAACATTTTCCGATTTCTCTACCGGGTTCTACATGAATCAGCACTTTGACTTCTCGGCTGTAATATTAATCAAATATTAATCAGACAGATAGCCGATATGAAATATTTCATTAAAGATTTAATTACCATTTTGTAGACGCAGACTCCTATAGTTTTAGCAAAACATTAAAGATGTGGTGATAAAATTTCATAAACTAAAATTTAAAAAGAATAATTAAAAAAATAATTTTGTTAAAATTCAAAGTCCACACTTTACAGACAGGCAGCATGTGGTCTGTATTAATCATTGTTAACTATTTTGACCTTGAATTTTTTGTTTTCTGTGTACAATTCATTAAAATTGTTGATCAATACCTTAAATTATTTTGCTCAAATCCAATACAAACTACTAATTACAATTCCAATGTCAAATATTGATATCTTTTCCAGATTTATGACACAAAAATTCTTGGTCAAGAATAGAAGTTATTATGAGAAAAAAGATTAAATATCTAATACTAATTGCAATGGTTACACTTAATAATTTTGCTTATTTTGCTAAGTTCATAGAGGATGTTTGCTTGTTTTGACTAAGTATGTTATAAATCACACTGAGAAGTGAGAAAATTGCAGTATTTTCACCAGCCCTGGGTGAAAAATGTAGATATTTTCTCACTTAAATGTGATCTATATAACATATTCAAGGGAATTTGTTTTTTGTTATTGTAAGTTCTATAAGTAAAATAACATTTTTAATGATTTCACTAGTGCGCAGCAAACAGCCACACTAAAAGATCACATCAGAAATTCAAACGCTTTTTTGTTGTCTCTGAATCGTGAAATAATGCAAAAAGATCAAATGAGCCACGTTATGACAAAACCAACATAATGGGTTTGCTACCAGCATGGATCCAGATCAGACTGTGCAGATGCGCAGGCTGGTCTGGGATCCATGCTGGTCGCAAAACCCATTATGTTGGTTTTGTTGTGAACGGCTCAAATGTATTTAAGCATAGTTATTAATATATACACTGGAGCCCCATTAAAAACAAGCCCCGTTATAATGCTAACCTCAGTATAATGCTCATAGGCCTTGGCAGTGTATATGCTAACAAGAAGTAAGTTTTATTGCCCACACTGCGAGTATTATGGATTTTATTTCATGGGTAAAACCCGCATTTCACTTCTTCGCAATAAAAATAGATACATTATATTAAGCATCACCAAATCAATGTTTAGTACAGCAGTAAATTTTTTTATCTCAACTTGGCTTTTCTTGTTACTCAAATATTTACGCAAAAATTAAAACACCCAGGCTAGCCATTTTTGCTACTTATCATGGCTCTTATAAAAAGAAAAGTAGTATACCCTAGGTGTATCTTGCGACTGTTTGTGTTGTTGTTGTATCAACCTTACAGGTCGTCCCTTTAATTTCTTCTCCAGTAATAAAAAGTATGTAGATGTCAGGTAGTCAAACTTCCACTGAAATTAACAGAGGACATTGAATGAAAATAGGTACAATAAGTTTTTCATTTGTCAGAAGTATTTAATAATTTCTTTTTAAAACTTTCAGTTTTGTAACTATCCTATATTTTTTGTTGTTTTTCTAGTCACACCAACAATCAAAGGTCATATGGTGAATGGCCATTTGATTGAGCAAGATCTCTGGTGCCCATCTGTGCAGGCATAAGACCTGGACCAAAACAGTTATTTACAGTAACAAACACTGCTTTTTAAAATGTTTCAGAAACAAGACTGGGGCCTTTCTAGAATATATCATACAAACAAGTATTTGTACCTTACACCATCTAATCATACCTAAATGACAAAGTGAATATATTCACAGTTATACACACCTGTTGAACGTCCGTTTCCATTTCCTGTTTAGACTTCCCATAATGCACTGCAAGTTCTGTAATGCAGTCATCATCAACTTTCCGCTATAAAAACAAATAAGTGTTTAATGGACTCCATATATACATCATAAAGAGTTTTAGACAAATTATCCAAACAGAAGTGAAGGAATAAAAATTCTAGTATATTTTGTTATTCCTTATAACATGTCCAAAAATTCTAAGTTTTTTTTTTTCATTGTGAGATTTTTAAGTACATATGCACATTTGATTTTATATCACCAGAGTTTTTTTTCCATTATTTTACCAGAGTTTTTTTTTCATTCTATAGCAGATGCAATTGAAGGGCTGCTACTCTTCAGCAAAATTATTTCAAATAATGCACCTTTTTTTTTAAAATTCAATTTAGTTTTTCTTCCCCTATTGCAAAAATAATGTGTTACTTTACCCCAAATTTAAGGAGAGGACTCCTTCTCCAGCCTGTGTAAAAAAGCTCTGTCAACAAGCTTACTGTATTTTTCTATGAGGAGAATTTCTAAAACTAAATGAGTGTAAAAACAGCAATGTGTAACACAATTACCCTATATTTACTGTTCCATTCTACAGGTATGTCTACACCTTTCATTAACCAGGGATGCTCCACGAGCTGGTTGATGGTAGCTCGACGTTTTGGGTCCACTTGTAACATAGCCTGTATCAACTCTTTACTCTCACCGGATAACCAGGAAGGTGTGTCGTATTTCCCACTCTGAAGTCATCATTCATTAATTATGTTGTAATTCAAGATGTGGTAATTATTTTTAATGGAAACAAGTATAGATTAACAGATTTTGAGGTTTTTGCATCAACCCCATGCAAATACTAGATTAAAGTTGTGTTTGTCTTAGGAAAAAAATTAACATAGCAAGGTTAAATACGATTAATAATTACTTTGCAAATTCTTCAGGAAATCATGAATACCATAAAATTAAACAAATGACATAATTAAAAAATTTAGATGATCTATTGTGCTTATAATGTCTCCAGCATAAATATATTTCCAATTAAACAAGTGACATATATCTAACTATTTAGATGATCTGTAATGCTTATAATGTCTCCAGCATAAATATATTTCCAATTAAACAAGTGACATATATCTAACTATTTAGATGATCTATAATGCTTATAATGTCTCCAGCATAAATATATTTCCAATTAAACAAGTGACATACATCTAAACAATTTAGATGATCTGTAACGTTTGTTATGTCTTAAGCATAAATATATTTTCCTCTTGCTAAGTTGAAAGTCAAGAGACTCCAAATAATACTGGTGTGGAAATATGAGCCGCGTCACGACAAAACCAACATAGTGCGTTTGCGACCAGCATGGATCCAGACCAGCCTGCGCATCCGCGCAGTCTGATCAGGATCCATGCTGTTCGCTATTAGTTTTTTTACTTGTAATAGGATCTGTAAGCGAACAGCATGGATCCTGATCAGACTGCGCAGAAGCGCAGGCTGGTCTGGATCCATGCTGGTTGCAAACCCATTATGTTGGTTTTGTCGTGACACGGCTCAATTATGGTGAGCATGCGATTTTATACATGACAAGCAAAATTTTGCAATACTTTGGGCCAAGTTGACATCTGTGATTCAGAAGAAGTATTGACTGAGGTCCATTTTAACTAAATATGTTGACTCAACTATCAAATTTTTACAAATGACAATATAATTGTAATTTTGCTACAATATACAAACCTGTATTTTCTTGTAAAGCTGTGGAATATTCTCATCATCAAAAGGGAGATAACCACATAATAATGCATACAACAGGATTCCCATACTCCATATATCAGCCTGTAAGATAATGTACATCACAAGGACATTGTTGGCAAGTCAGATTTTTAATTCTCCTATCAAGCAAAATCATGATATACATATAATAGCTTCGTTAAAGTTTCATACAAGCAACTGTAAAAAGAATACTAACAAACAGAAAAAGTGAAATTAAGAACCGATCATTTCTTACACATTCTTTTGTCATTGCAGCAATGGTATTTTTCAGTTATAAACAAGTTATCAGAGCCTAATTTAAGAGAATGATACGCTCTTTCTCCTTTTGTTTTTGTTCCATTCATATCTAATAATCTAAAATCACAATTCATCAGAATTAAGTTAAATGAAACTATATATACCTCGGCACCCAGATATTCTTTCCCAGAAATGAGTTCAGGAGCTGCATAAGCTGGGCTGCCACAACACGTGTACAAATGATTCTCCATGCCACCCTGTATAAACAATTTCAAATATATTCATATGCTACCTTTTTTGGTTTATTTGATAATTACAGTGCAAGATCAATGAAGCCCATGAAAATCATTTTTATTTCTATAAATCTACATGTGTATTTCTGAGACTTGATTACCTTTTACATTACTTTTATAGTCTTAAAATTTGATTGTTTGATTTTAACGCAAATTTTCATTTTTTTTAATCTTGCTGGTTGGTCCACCTAACTGGCTTTCCTGGATTATTTACCAATAATTACCTATTACTCATAAATTTACCAACTACTGATCCCACATGATTTTTATTTCAGCGGTGAGAGACAAATGATCATAAGATTCAATGTTCAAAAACAATGCTCTCCCTATTTAGCTAAGCCAGCGGACTTTAAAAATTAAATATTGTTAGTAACTACAGAAATCATTTTTTTTTGCATCTTTGAAACATAAAGCAAAAGCCAATGTGACCCAATTACTTACTCTAGGTTTTGCACAGAGACCAAAGTCTATAAGTTTTAAATTTTGTTCCTCATCCAGTAACAAGTTCTCTGGTTTCAGATCTCTATGGGCGTAACCCTGGTTGTGTATGTAAGCCACAGCTGAAACAATCTGACGGAAGAATATTCTAGCCTCCTCCTCACCTAGTCTGTCTTTGGCCACAATGTAATCAAACAGTTCTCCTTCCGGACAATACTGTCAATAAAATCAAATAGAAAATAGCATATTATCATATACAAGTATATACAGAAAGAATGGAATGATTCCATATCCAGTATTATGGGTGCTTATGGCAAGCCAATAATTTATTTATAATGAGAGTTTCTGTATAAACAATTTGACAGGGCTGCCATTAAAATCCAAAATTTGGAAGTCAGAAACTGCAAAATGTCTGACACTGGAGGTCTCATTATATAGGTAAAGAAGGAAATGGGTTATATTTTGGAAGTCACAAGCCAAAATCAGGAGCAAATATCTCTCAAACTTCAACTAGTGGAAGCCCTGAGAGGAGATAGCATACTGGACTATTCAAAAACTGGATGTAGTAAAGAAAATCAAAACTATGGCAATCAACAACAATAAAACAAATATAATATAAAAACTTCAAGTGACATTATGCTCATATTTTTATAGTCAAGTTGAGCTGAATTGACTTTATATTTCAAAAGATTGACTGTTTAAATGATGTTTGACAAACAGATTATATTGGAAAATGTTTAGGATGAACTTTAAAATCTGCCTAAAATATAAAAAGACTGCCCCACTCTTTTTATAAATAGAACGTTACGGGCAAAGTCTAAATGATATTCACTTAAATTTTGTTTGAATCCAGTGGTAATTTATTGTTTATGCAAAGTAAATTATTAAATCAAAAAGGAATGATGGCAAAAATAAAATTTATTTTGACTCTCACCTGTTCACTCACTATATACCTTCAGATGGGCATAATGTCACTTTAAGAAATATATTTCTGTGTCACTACCAAGAAGCACTCAAATGTCCCAACTTTTTCATACAATGCACATGCATGATTAAAGAACCTTACCTCTAGAACCATGTAAAAACGGTCTGTAGTTTCTATCACCTGGTATAATTTACAAATATGCTGATGGCATAAATCCTGCATTGCTGCAATCTCTGTCTTCACTCTAGGAAGATCTTCCTACAATAAAGATCGCAGACTGTCAACTATATCATTACATTTTGGGCACCGGTTTCATCAAAGATCATGCAATCAGCTAATTTGGGCAGAAAACAAGAACATGTTCGGTAAACAAAAATGCCCCCAGCCCAGATTCTTGCCAGACACAAATTTTCAAAAAAGGTTAACAGCCCTGGGATATCAACAAGAGCGATCAGTAATCACATGTGTCGCCTCATGATGGCCAATTTCATGTTGGGACAAATTTTGTGACAGACGGACAGTGCACAACTAGACTTGGTACTGATCATTCCTGTAAAGTTTGGATAAAATTGCACCAGTAGTTTATGAGGAGTAGTCCGGACAAGCTTTTGCGTATCTGGCAACACACAGAAAAAAAACACCTTTTAATCAAAGGGCCATAACTCAGCCAAAAATCATTCAACCGGAAAACCCGTGCAATATGCGCAAGAACTTGAGCTACAGATCAATCCTGTAAAGTTTCATCGAAATTGCATTAGTGGTATAAGAGAAGTAGTCCGGACAAAGTTTAAAAATAAAAATTATTAAAGGGCCATAACTCAGACAAAAATCATTGAACCGGAAAATGCTGACAATATGCACAACTAGACTTGGTACTGATCATTCCTGTAAAGTGTGGATAAAATTGCACCAGTAGTTTATGAGGAGTAGTCCGGACAAGTTTTGTGACGGACGGACGGACGGACGGACAGACGACGGAGAAGTGATCCCTATATGTTGCCACTACTCCGTAGAGGCGACACAAAAATAGCAACAGAAGCAGCCAAATTTTTTATTTTCAAATTCATATTTGTACCTCTTGGACTCTTTTAAGTAAATAATAGTCAATTAACAACCCTGACAATAGGATTACTTAACGTTACATTACCATCTAGAAGCATCGTGTTGAAAAGAAACATGGCATGAAATATCATACTGAATAAATGTGCCTATAATTATACAGATCTGATCCATGGCAGCAACATGAAATGAAAAATATACATGCCATAATAAAATATTGCCATTATTACAATTATTAACATTCTGATAAAACCTAAGCGATGGAACATAAAAATTGATCATTGAAGAAAATTACTGGATACTTCATCTTCAATTACAGCATAAGAAGAATCTTATTTTTTTTCACTCACCCCTAGAGATCTTTTATCCATGATTTTTATTGCAACTTTTTCTCCTGTCAAAGAATGATATGCCAGCTTCACCTTTGCAAAACCACCTGTTGAAGTATTAGACAAATTGTTATAATGACATATAATGAAAAGTAATTCAAATCAGGTTGCAATTTTAAAAATTTCTTCCAGTAATCGTAAAAGAAAAGTCAATAGTCACATAGATACCATGTTTCTCAAATTTTTTTTTACTTCAAGAAAAGCTTACATGAAATTCATCTTAAATCTACATAGTATGATAGATATAATATCTTTTGTTATACAATTTGTTCAATAAAATAAAGCCATGAAGCAAGATTTCTAATTGCTTTTTGTAATCTATGAAGGTTAAATATTCAGGAAATTTTGAAAATACCCTAGCTCTTATAAATTTTCATTTGTGTGCATAATCATTATTTTAATGTTACTTCTTTGCGAAACATGTCCTACAGGCATTCTATAATTTTGCAAAAGTTCACTTTAACAGTTTGTTTTATTTTCAAGTTGTTAGGAATTTGTTTGTGAAATTGGGAAAAAACATTGGGAATGGGAATGGGGCCTTATATCTGATAGTGATAGGGCAAAATGCCCTGACTTAAACCCTGTGTTTAACAGCTTTTAAATAAGCTTATTTATTAAGAAACTTCAAGATTAACTTACCGGACCCGATGGTCTCCCTAAGGTGGTAAAGACCTTTCAACTCTGAGTAACTCATCTCTGCTTTTTTTAAAGCATAGAATCTGTAAAAAAAAATAATAATAATGTCAGCCATAATGAATTAACTTTTAGATATTTAGAAGTAGGTCTATTACATAATTTCTGTCAACAAGTCAGTATGTTCTTAAAGCTGTATGCCTCTGCAAAACTATTTCAAGAAAATCAAACTTGAGAAAAGTCAGTGTTCTAAAATTTTCAGAAAAGTAAAAAGATTCATACTTAGTTATATGTGATAATTGACTGATTTTTCAGTATTAAGCACCACATTATTACTGGTTGACTTAAACACAATGCTTTTTATTGCATATTTTGACATCTTTTTTGGTAAAGTAAATGGCTTGTAAGTGCTGTTTGCAATCTGTAAATTACTTCAAGTTCCTTTGTTCACATCACAATATTTTACTTTATAATAATAATACATTTTCAAAATTAAAAGTTATTTATTATTTATGCGAAGAAAACTATTAAATTGAAAAGTCAGTGGGCAAATTGTCCCAGTCGAGGCAACTTTTTTTTTATTAAGGAAGTAGCCACGATATGCAAGGATAAAGTGTGGCTGTCAAAAACAATGAACATAAATGAATTTTGATGCAACTCTAGTCATGCAAAATTCCGTATGTATCAAACTCAATCTGTTATAGTAAAAATTCCAAACACAGTCGCTGTCTCGGTGCCCTGCAAGGTGAATTATAGTATATAAAAACTTATACAGAAAATACATATATGCCTTATTCTCATCGATTCGTGCCTTCTCATCGATTCGTGACATAAATAATTGTCTGGTATAAATACTTCTCCAAGGACATACACCATCCGAAAACTACACAAGTTTTATTAGACACTCGATTTGACAATTCTATCCAATCAAAATGCGTAATTGAACAGGTGTATTTATGAGCTTACCCTACAATCAGCTGATGACCTAATTACTTTTAAATATTCGATATTGATGTTTTAATTAATCAAACACACTTACAATTAAGCCAACAAATATTCATTATGCTGTAAGAATTACCTTAAGACTTTGAAACATAAATTGATCAGATCGGACTGAAAATAGCCATGCAAACATTTAGTGGTGTGAACACCTATATTTTGATGACGTCACAGGGTGAATCGGATTTCACGAATCGATGGGTAAGCGTCCAGCTGAGCTAGACAGTCATGGTTGACATGTTCAGTTGCTCTAATCTTTGAGCGGTTGTTTTTAGAAGTAATTTAAAGTTTTTGAACTTTTAGATAATGAATTTATTTAACACATGCACTAATTGAACTGTATGTATGTCTGATATTTGTTGTGCAAGTGCAATTTTTCCAAATAAGAGTCACGAATCGACGAGAGAAAAGCATAGATATAAAAATACATACATATATACGTATACTGTACGATTTAGATTGCAAAGATCAGAAAATACCACAGAGCTTGCAGTTAATACGATTTTGTATGTGACTGTGAGAACTGATTTGCTGAGAACTCTATTAGCTATTACAAAGTTACATGTAAATCTTTTTTTCCAGCTTCTACACATGAACTCCTGTTTATAACCATATCAATAAATTTAGTGTTGCCCTAGAATCAATTTTGGTACGCTAATTGATACAAATAGGATTTTTTTAAACATTGAATAAACGTGTATCTTGCATGATTTGATTTTCAGAGAAGAGCAAATTTTGATGTGCGTTTACCTACACTCGTAATAGAACAATAGTTTAATAAAATGATAACCTACAACGTCCTTTAATGACACTGTTTGTGACAGTCAAAAATGCGGATATTATTGATAAAAACACGGCAAACTTCACATAAAATTCCCTTTCAAATGTGCCACTATTTTCAGCCAATCATATTCCGGAAAAGTCTCTGCTTGATTTATATGCTAAAATTATCTCAATTACACGGATAATTTTGGCTAAACGAATTGGGGACACAACAAATTAAATCAAAATTTATTTATTGTCGGTACATATGTATATACATATAATATTTCACAAAACATAAGCTATGTATAGCTTTTTAGCGACAATAGATTAATAAAATGACACAACAAATTGTGAGATTGTTTATTTTTTTGCTTTTACTTTTTCAATAAACTTGCATCTAAATTGGAAAATTGTTTTTGTTGTTCAGTGCAGACTGAGAAAAATTTAGATGGTTGGGTTGTAAAATGTTACTTGCAATTGAAATTGATAATCTTGCTGTACCCAAGATCTTCTTGTAAATATTCCTTTCACCATTTCGATATAGCAGAGACTTTATTACAGAGTCCATGACTGACGGGTGTGGCCACGCACTGGTTATTATTTATTTATTCTTCCAAGCGGAGCCAAACATCCCAGCTATAATGTGTTAACTGAGGTAACTTATGTTAGAAAATAAACTTGTATTATACAATTTAATTTTGATAATCTTTTTTACACTTTCCTACGGAAGAGCATTAGTGCCAGGTGTATGTTTTTTATTAACTCGAAATTTCGACTTACTAACTCGAAATTTCGAGTTACTTATCTCAAAATTTCGAGTTATTAACTCGAAATTTCGACTTACTAACCCGAAATTTCGACTTAGTAACTCGAAATTTCGACTTACTAACTCGAAATTTCGAGTTACTTATCTCGAAATTTCGACTTAGTAACTCGAAATTTCGACTTATTAACATTACAAGAATGGCCAAAGTTATTTTAGATGGTATAAGATATAGTAGGCAGTGCCTTTAAACGATGGAGATGGAGAAACGGGTGCCTGGACAAAAACTATTGAAATTTAACTTAAACTTAGTAATGGCATGTACACACCCGACATAAAAAATACAAGGCTTCCTTTAATTTGTACGTTCAGGCGTTCTTCAGACGTTGTATTGTATCCCATCTGTTCGAACATATCTTTTCACTAATCATATTCTTCTCATCCCTGTTAAAAAAAACGATCCTATACTTTACGTGTGGGACATCTGAGGAAAGTATCGCGGCGTGGCCAAAATAGGGCGTGCTGAGGCCTTAGCCAAAATTGTTGGACTGACTATATTTCTTGTAAAAATCGGATGCTTTTATATTGTTCCCAACATATATATTATAACAAGTATCACTTTTATCAACTTTTATCAACCACAATATGAATCAAAGTATTAGTAAATAATGAATAATGTTACAAAAAACATTATTATTATAAAGAAACGTGACAGACTAACTGGCCTATACACGTCATTTAAAACTTATTTCGTATGATATTGCACAGTTTACAATAGGGTGGGTTTTGGACTTGTTGTTTCTCCATATGATGGTTGTATGTGTGCTTAAGAAAAAGAAACACCCTGTTAACACGGAAATGTGGAAAGTGTGATTTTACACCCCCCCTCCACAAAAAAGCGAAGGATATGTTCAGTATCTGTGGACAATTTGACCCTATAAAATTGTTCTGTTGAATAAATGTTAAAGGTGCTCTGTCTATGTGCAACAACTACACACGAAAGAAAGTATCTTGAATTCAATCCTTGCTTTCACCGGCAACCAATGAAAGTCGTGCAATGTAAGTCGAAATTTCGAGTTACTAAGTCGAAATTTCGAGTTAGTAACTCGAAATTTCGAGATAAGTTACTCGAAATTTCGAGTTAGTAAGTCGAAATTTCGAGTTAGTAAGTCGAAATTTCGAGTTAGTAAGTCGAAATTTCGAGTTAGTAACTCGAAATTTCGAGTTAATAAAACACCTGGCACTAATGCTCTTCCGTACTTTCCTCTTTTATAAAATTTATTTTTTTTATTGTGGGGATCCAGTACTGTTCGGGCATTCTTATTGCTTTGTATGCACGGTCTTTCAATTAAATTGGTGATTTTGTTTGTTTGTTTGTTTCATTTTACGCCTTTTCCCAACAGTATTTCAGTCATATAGGCGGGTAGTTTCCTATCTATCGTTCCTGAAGAGTTACACCAGAACTAGACAACCTTCCTCGATCCGCGCTAAACTACCAAAGCATATCCCGGGGATCGAACCCACGCCAGAGAGGTAACTGGATTAGAAGTCATCGACTCTAACCCCTCGACCACGGAGGCGGTTTAAATTGGTGAATTTTATAATATTTCTTAAAAGGAAGGTAAGTGGTATTTAAATTTACATTATTTAACTAAGTATTTTCTAAATGTAAACATGACATAATTAATTAGCGTTGATTTGATATGAAGCCTCCAGAGGTTCTAAAGACCATCTGTATATTTTGTATCTGTATATATTATATCTGTAATATGGGTACTTAGTTGTTTTAATAGATTTTAATTTGGCACTTGCACCTATCTTTTATCAGTCTTGGATAAATTAAAATTGTAATGCTTTTGTATATATAGAAAATAGATTAAACGAATGAAACAAATTCCTAATTGCACAATAATACAACCCAATGACATAAATTATAAGCGATCAGAATATGAAAGAAGCATATATATAATATATATATTATTTTTAACGCACTTGTTTTACCATGGTTTCAACTGATCTATTATGAGTGTCACGTGGCCAATTTTGATCGGCCCTTTAACATTAATACGTGCAAAACAGTTTGACGTCATCTAAACCAGATAGCTGAAAAGTGAAAATGTGAGTGTGTACGTGCGTCCGTGACTGTGTGTTTTTATTTTTTAAGAACTGTTTGAATTTTATTATCCAAAATTAGTTTTACTTTAAAAACAACTCAGCTTAACTGAGTCTAAAGAAAGAGTGAACACCATGAAAGTTATTGAAAATAGTATTACATCCTTCAACAAGTGTGTCACTACATACATAAGCTAGACATTTATAAAAAAAAAATGTCAGAGACGGGGCGGAAAGTAATAATCGGTAATCCGGGTCATTTTTCACTTAGCAAACAGATTATCGAATTTCGACTCTACTCTGTCGTGTTTTACCATTAATTTGTGTAATACTATGAATTTATTATCTGACTATCTAGCTAAAAAAAAAAGGA